AAAAAAAAAAAAAAGATCAGGGAGTTAATCAAAAGCAGAGGAAGAGGGGGTGGGTGGGGTGTCTCTTAATCCCTCTCTTTTCTCCGCCCTGTTTCTTGTAGTAAATGACACAGACCAGGGGCTGCCACTTGACACTGGATTTACAAGTCCCTTTCTTTGTGAAGGTGTGTGTGTAGGGGTGAAAAAAAAACTGTGTGTGCATGTCTTCTTTCAGCAAAAAAAGGGTTTCAGTTTGCAAAGCACCTCTAGAAGTGAGCACAATGTCTGAATCCAGGATTCCAGGAATTCCAGATCATTAATCTGAGCAATCTGAATTCTTTCCAGTCTTCTTGAGGCAGGAGAGAGAATGACGAGGAAAAAGAAGGGAAAGACGGGAAGCGTTTCAGCTGTTTCACACGTTATTCTCAAAAAAAATGCCGTTTTATAGCGTGTGGGCATATTTTTATATATGCCTATGTAGATAATATATATATAGTGATGCAAAATACCTATAATACCAACATTATAAATCCAAAAATTGGGGTTAAATATTAATTTTTTAAAAATGCTGCCACTATCACGAGCAAAAACAAACGAAAACTTCAAATCGTTGACTTAAGTAACATTTCCCCGTGACTGCAAACGTTATATATAATCTTTACACATGTGCGAGTTCCAGAATTTTAATTAAGAAAAATCCATACAGCCTGCACAGAAAAGTGGTTGCACGTCACCTCATCAATTACTCATCTCAGTATGCAAAATAATCAACATTTATCTTAAAAACTATTTGTCATTTTACTGAAAAAAAAAAGAAAAATCGATTACACTAGACTTCTTTCGTGGGCTCAGTAACTTTCCTTTTCCTTATAGTGCCATCAGTAATCATTTGTAAGACAGAAGGGGTGGGGCATGCTGGTGCGCGTGAAAGAGGGAAAAAACTTTGCTAACTTGTGGTTAATTCAATGAGAAGAGAACTTAGCCGAATATATGACATTAAAACCCGGCGAATCCATATTAAAGTCAAATATGCTTCGTATTTATTAGCTTATCCTGAGCCTAGCGTGCCTCCACAACACATTTATAAGCTGTACTGTGTGCAGGCTCGGTATAGGAAGCGAGCAGACGCCGTATCAGAACAAACGAAAGCAAACTGTAGCCTGCTACTATTTCACGAACAACAACGTAACGGGCCCCGTTTTAATGTGTAACAGTTTAAAGAAGAACGAGCAAAAAGCCGGAAACGAACACCGCAATGGCAAGTATGCGAGTTTAAACGTCGCCTGTGATCCACTTTCAAGGACACTGCAGCTTAAACAGCCGAGCAGCTTTTAACTGGAGAGCCAGAGCTCGAACAACACCGCATCGAGAGGGGGAAATGACTTACTTTGAGAAAGACGCGATAGAAGTGGCCGGTGGTGTCGTTATTTACCTTCTTGGTGTTTTTGCCGTTGTAGCTGTTGTAAGGGTTGATTCCTGTCCTTGGCGACACAGAGAGCAGCATTTTTACTCGGCGCTGTGTCCGGAGGAGCGGAGAGTGGAGAGAGCCAAGGCAGTCAGCTGACGTCAGCCAGGGAAATTGAGCCAGGAACAGCGGTAGTGATTGGAGCCGCGTTTCCCAGCACTCTCATGTACTCCGCTCAAAGCACTGGGCTATATGCTTATTTATACTGACTTCATCTTCCAGTTGTGCCTTCTCGCCAAATAATAACACCTTTTAGGCAGGGAGATAAATAACCTACCTAGCAGACTTTTTTTTTTTGCTTTAACTTCCAGTGTTGTGCTCATTTAAGTCATCCCTCCAACCCAGTATGATTAGGAAGAAGAAATGCAGAGCTGCCTGCGCTTAAAGTGCACTTTGAAGAATGGGAATGGTGATTTAGATAAGGTGATCTCCCTAACAGTAGACACTTTTTATTGGCTTTTTCTTTGCTCAAGCCATACACGAGCCCTGGGTCAAGTACCTCTAGTGCATATGAAATGAGGAGGACCAGATCACTGCTACTATTTCCTGAGTTGGAAGTAGACATTGAAATACAGCAGCTTACTGAGATTAAAAAAGAAAAGGGAAAAAAACTGGGACGTGTTGAGATAATGTTTTTGCCTAAGGCCAATGTAGATGGAAAGAGAAGCATTAATTAGTATTCTCCTTAATTATATAATTAAAGCTAGATTGACTCTCTAATAACGTTTTCAGCCATCCCTTCTTTTCTCTATACTTTTGCCAAGTGCATTTCCAAACCTTTCAGAGCACCAGGCCAAATTCACTAACAGACGTTGACCCTTGTCATCTGAGGAAAATGAAGCCCACACATCAAATATGTTGTCTTACACAATCACTTGTCCCATCCTTGCCTTATTATCTGGCCCTTTTTCTATTTTTCTTTTGAAATTTTACCCCCTAACTTCAACACCACACCAAGATGTACAGGTGCAGTAAACAAACAGCCAGCAGCTCTTTAAGGCTAACTATTACCTACCAGCTCTATGAACCACTGCTGCATATTCAAGAAAGTTGGGATCCTGTGTAAAATATAAATCCGAACAGGATGCAGGAATTTGCAAAACCTTTACACACTTTGTTTAACTGACAATAGTAGAAAAACAAGATGGTACAGCTGATGATGTTTACTTCTGTGTAATCGTTTTCCTTTTCTGCTTGAAATAAATTGCTAAACAGTTCAGGGGAGTCCATCAGAAATGTCACTTCTTACTGTGTCAGATCTTTTCAGTGGGTGACAGGTCTGAACTGTAAGCAGGTTACTATAAAACACCAGGTTATTGCACAGTGGAGACATGCTGTTGGAACAGAAGCACGGTTAAGCATTGTCTTGCTGAAATAAGCAAGGCTTTCCCTGAGAAATACAACATGTTCCAAAACCTCAGTTTAATGTTTGGTATTCATGCTACCTTCACTGATGTGTAAGATACTCATACTATGTACATTATAATCCATACTCACTATTATATGCCAGTATAGGATCCTGGCATATAATAGTTGCCAATCTTAATGTTTTTTAAACATGAGGCTGACATCTAAAGTGTTGATGTTGTTATTGAAATAATAAATATCAGCAGTATTGTAATATTTTGTCTTAATACTTTTTTTATTATTATTAAATATGGTGGTTAAATGATTTTCACATCATTGCATCATTCTGTCTATATGTAGATTTTTACAGTCTTTTAACCATGTTCAAACTGGTTACTATTGGTTGCAATTGGTTAAAATTCTTAAATCATTTTTTCATTAAATCAAATCTTATTTTAAAAAAAATTTAAAAATAGGTGAAATAGGCAAGATGATGTCTAAATTATTTGCAAAATTCATATGCAACTGTAGTCACAGAGGGATCCCTCAACAGAGGAGAGGAGGGCTAATATTGATTATTGAGATTAGAAAATGTTGCTATGCCAACTTTTGTGTCAAAAGGGGAAATGTAGTCATTAAATAGTGTGTGTGTGTGTGTGTGTGTGTGTGTGTGTGTGTGTGTGTGTGTGTGTGTGTGTGTGTGTGTGTGTGTGTTTAACGGGAATGATCTAATGATAAGTTATTGTCATTAAAAACTTGTTGGACAGCTGGAACTACTGATTGTTTCCATACTTATGTATTAAAAATAAATAGAAAATGATGTCAAGATTTTCTAAGTAAAATGAAAATGAGCTCCCACCCTTCTATTAATATATTTTCACAATGCACGATAACTGTTTTTATTAACACGAGCTGCTTGCCATATAACTCTTTTTACCCCCGAGCCTTTTCTTGTGTACTCTGATTAATCCTCATGTTTGCAGAAAACATACGCAACATCAGCTATATTGTTTCTTACCTAACTGTCGTATGTGAATATTACATCTCTGACTGTAAAATTCCGACCGAGCCCGTAAACTTAGGTTGATCTACATGCACAAGGGATTTCATCCAGATTTCATCATGATGGTCTAGTCAGACAGACGGGAGAGGCTCAGCTGAATTCATAATCTCTGTGTCTCTCTCCACCCTCTATCGCTGTCTCCCAAGTATGTGCACGCGTGCAATGTCAAAACTTGATGCATTGGTTGACAAAATAACATTATTCTATGTATGGCATCATTCTCTCCAGCCAGATATTGATTCTTTTTCAACTGGACCAGTTTCAGACCACAACTGGGTCACCCATAGTCATTTACTTCCCCTGCTTAAATCTATGCAATGTTTTGATGTGTGTGTATCTGTGCAAGTACTCAGCCAGATGGGCTGCGAGTTCCACAGAGCTCAAGGACAGTTTGGGGAGTGACTCAGTCAGCAGTGTGCCCGAGCTAGCCAACACACACTGCAAATTCACCAGTAACAGGAATAAAAGGGCCTGTTGGGAAAGAGGAAGGGTTTTTTGGATAGGATTTTCCTCCACACTAAGAGAAAAAAAATCATAATTTCATTGATTTTTTTAATGAAGAAGTTTAATCTGCAGTAACCTATTGTTGATTCATATTTCCTGGTAGAATCACGTCAGTGCTGCGTATAACATCTGCATCTACGATCCCTGTGAAAGTAGTTGCTAGTTGGCTGCAATGGGGGAGGGTCACAGATGGGGAGAAGCGAGGTGTGGTGAGTGGGGAGAGGTTGGTGGGTGGTTAGAACACAGCCCAGTGCTGCATGCTTTGCATTCCTCAGGTGTTGTCAGCATTGCTTGCTCAGTAATTACCTTTTAGCAACAACAAAAAAAGAAGACGAAGAAGAAGAAAAGCACAGCGCCACATTCTGCCAGTAAACCAAAGGGCAGAAAACAAGAAAAACCTTGAGGAAAGCTTAATAGGAAGTGGGATGCGTGTGTGTTTAAAAGAAATATGTACATCGGGGTAAAAATGTGTGGAAAATCACATGCATCTGCAGCCATAAGGCATGCATACATTAAAAAAACGTAGACTGTGGCTAAGTGAGAGTCAGCAGCTTTGTCTATGCAGCAATCCATCTTCTCTCAAGGATACAAGTAATGACTGCAGCCAAGCAGACCTTGGCATGTAAACTAACGGTGTGATACAGATGTACAGATTTGCAATGATGGTGGTGAGTCCTCAGTCACAAAACTTTACTTCTTTTTCAAACTGAGTAAACTTTTGTCTGTCTGTATTTTAAATTTCATCATTTCTCTCGCTCTCTTTGTCTTTTTTGTTTTGTTTTGTTTGTTTCTTTAAGTCAGATGTCATCACTTTCATCACTGACACCATGGTACTTTTCACATAACAGATAGGTTCTCCCTGTCTGGGAATGCTTTTCTCTCTCCCTTCTCCTTTCCCTCCTTTGCCCCGCTCTGTCTCCTTGGCTCACTCGCTGAGAGCTGAGGGATTGTGTGCAGATGTGCCTGGAGAGAAGCCAGCCCTTCTGCCCTGGGAGAACATGTGGTCTGGGAGTGTTTATGCTGGCACTCTTTCAACCTGTCTCCCACACAACATGCTGGCGTCTGTCTTTTTTTAAATGACAATGCACAAACCTCCTTTCACAAAAGGTGGAGGTGACACAAGGGTTTGCGGTAATTGAGTGCACTGACAGACAGGATGTACAGCAAGTTTAAAAAAAAAAAAAAAAAAGCAGACAAATTTGCTGGCAGTAAATATGTTTTCCAGAAAAGCTTCAAGGGAGCATTACTGAAATGCATGCAATGCGTGGCTGCAAAACAGTTAAGTTACCACCACAGCATTTCCTTGCAAACCTTTTTATTTATATTCAAGTTTCATGCTTGAACTGAAATTAAACATGCTTGCTTTAAACAGACATCCAGAATTTTCAAGCATGTTTTTCACAGATTCTCTGCATACTTGACATTCTCTCGTGTGATTCGGGCTTTGGGTAAACATCTGTAAGCTGAACACCCCTGAAAAGAAATTCCTATTCTTAACACTGGTGGCAGCAAAATGACCGTCAGTTTGGGCAGCGAAATGCACAGCTGTTGTTTTTAGTACCCATGACTGACTGAGTGGGAGACATCCACTGCATTACCCACCATACACTTAGAGAAAGAGTCATTTATGAGCATTTTTCGCATTCAGAGGCATTTTATTCTCTTTTTAAACAAGCGGTTCTTTAATCGGACATTTCTCAGATGTTCTATCAGGTAAAATTTACCAACCATTGCAATAAACTGCTGGACTCTATTTTGCTTTGTTAGTGAACTGAGTTAGTCTGCATGCCTCTCTCGAAATCTAAGTTTCTAGTGCCCCCTGTAGGTTTGGATGGTTAATGAACCTATCCGGTCTTTTCACAAATTGAAATAATTAAAAAGAAAAAAAAAAGCTCTGTTTAAAAACAGACAAACAACCCAAAGAACAAAAACAAAAAAAAACAAACAGTCTGTATGTTTTTGGAAATGCGTTTAGTCTCATTGCTCTTTGAGTAAAATGGTGATATATATATCTACATATAAGTTTTTAAATGCAATTTAATTGTTAACTTTGGTAAAACATATCACATACACATATAAATACTGACCCCCCCCCCCCACACGTATTTCATAACAATCGCATCGAGTTGTCATTTTTACGTGCCACCAGGGGGCACGATTTAGTAACGAAACCAGAGGTTGA